CTTAGGCTGACCCTGGAGGTGACAATAGCTCTGACTTTCTCTGGAAGCAAATGCAAGACATTTACAGCTTTTCAGAGTTTTAAGTTTCAGCTTGTCTTTTCTAAAAAGCACTGAAGAATGCAATGCTCAGACCTACTTTAGTGACCAAGAAACATCACATAACAACCAGGAAAAGGCAGACATAGCTGCTCTAGGCCATCCATTTAGCTGCTGCTCAGAGAAAGGAATAAAGCTCTCTTCTGCCTCTCTGTTACAAGAAGCAGCTGGCACCGGCTTGGGAGATCCCTCAGCTGGCAGCTTTTGGTACTGCTGGCTATAGAAATTTCCATCTAGTGAACCTAGTATTGCATTTTATCATCCTCAGGGTAAATGCTTTAGTCACACAGTCTACCACTGCAGCTACATCTGAATGAAAACTACACTGTCTAGCTCCAGCCAGGCCCTGTAGGGCACAACTCCATCTGTTTTACTAGACCACACAGGACGTTGAAAATTCTGCTTCTTTAGATGCTTGTGTGGCTCACATACCTCATCTCCATGTGAAAGCTGGTTTTTAGGTTACAGTTTCATATGGGAAAACATGGTTAAGGCGGGACAACCTGTGGTTTCCATGCAAGCCGAGCAGATCAAAAGCAACAAGGAAACACAGGTTAAGTTTCAGCTCTCCCTTATCAGTTAAGGGACCAGAATGTTGTAATGCTCAAGTTTTACTGCATCTTAAAATAAATTAATAAATCAAGACTACTAACAGGGACAAAGATGGTATTCTAAAATTAAGACTGCAGTGACTGCCTTGAAAAGAATAGAGACCCAACAGGAGGAAATCTCAAACCCATCTTGGTCCTATCAGGGAGAGATCAGGCACACTTCACATTAAGAGTTACATCTGTGTTCTCAGGGAGCTAAAAATACATCTTAAAAGCAGATGTGTTAAGTTTTCCCTTATTATTCCAAAGATGTATCTCACAAATAGAGGAGTCTCAGCATAATTTCTTTTGCTTACGTTAAGCTTTTTCTGCAGCAAGTCTTCAACCTCTTTTGTTCGGATGTGGTGCATATGTTTGAACTGTTAATTTGAGTATTACTGCCAGGAATATTATTGCTTGCTTGGTCAGACAATGGCACTTTAAAGCTATAAGGATTTGGCTTTGTTATAATCTTGTGCTTCAGCAGCCTTTAAGCATCTTAACAGATCCTTTTCATGCTGCCTACAGTTTAACAGGTCACTCTTTCTGGAAATGTAGGTATGTGGCAGGATTCAAGAATTTACTGATCATTTTCCCAGTGCCCTTCCCTTATTTTTATGAAGAACTTTAGTATTAGCTCCCTGTCCAAAACATCAGAATACTTCCTTGCTAATATACCCATTCCAAATACCCTTATAGAAAAGCAGCTTTAAGATTAGTGTTTTCATTCCTTGTGTATTTGTTACTACAGGTTGCTTACCAAGGAAAAGAGCACGAGCACACCACTCAAGCTGTTTGGTGCCATACTCATGCTTTATTAAAAAAAAGCTACACAATGCTGAGAAAAAAAAATAATCAAGTTTACTTTACAAAAAACCTGCAGGCATTTTCAAGAGATCTGATCTCACTTATAAATGAAAAGTCAGCAGGTAAGGAAGTAAACGTTAACTTAACATTTCAGTTGCAGTACATTATCTGAACTTAATAATCCAAAACTATCTGTCATTCTTAAACTGACTGTAGATTGTATCTACACAAACAATCTACACAAACAATAGCATTTGATTAAAAAAAATCCCTGGGAAAAATGAGAGATAAAGGGAAAAATGTCAGAAGACTTATGCAGCCCACCTATAAACTCTCACAGAAAGATCTCTCTTGCTTTGCTCTCCTCTGTAAGTTAACTGCAATTCCACTGTGTATTTAAGAAAAGTCTTAGTGTAAACTGCTAAATTTTGTTCAGTGAGGGGATTAAACTAGTACAACACAACTATGCAGCTGCCATCAAGTTACACTAGTTCTATGTCTTACTATCTCCAAGGAAGTGTATTGTGCAAGTCTCAACAGCAAAACACTCCTGAAACAGCCCTTGTGTCACTCCTATGAGGTAGGTACTGTCCTTCCTCTAAAGAAGAGAGAACAGACTTAACTGCTGCTCAGTACATCAGGCACACTGAAAAACAGAACAACCAGCCTACATTAGTATTTAACTTCCTTGCTGCTTCCCTGCATTAAGAACTTTCAACTGCAAGGTTTTGTGTAGCACCATGCATTCCAGGAACAAACAATGACACTTTCAACTATATCAATTCCAAGGTAGGGAAGATGTTCAGTACAACTGTTTTGAAATAAGCAGAAGCACTGCCATCACTAGTCTGCTCCATTCATCTACACAGCCTACTATTCAATTATTTCGTACATGAATAATAAAGATGATACCTCATCCTTTCATCTGACAGCAGCCTCTTCTGTCAGATTAAATTATACTGGGAAAAAAAATGAATGGCTGTCACAAAGCAGACAGCATACAGAGGGCTGCAAGTATCAAATGCAGTTCCAGTGTAGCTAATTTAGTACTTTGCTACCATGGTATAGACATGAACTCTAAAGCAGTTTTTCTTACCTACAGTATAGACTCATTAACTCTTCACAATATTTTAAAGTAGTTAATAGGCTGTGACAAAGGAATTGGTAGTGGTCCTTCACATTATGGATGTATTTTATTTGTGGTCTAAAACCACCTTAGTATCTTCTACAAATATGGAAGAAACACTAGCACACATCTTTCATGGTCTTTGCTCCTCAATCTCACATGAGCAGTTGCGTGGCAGCTCAGCAAGCTTGATGAAAATTAGGCTGGTAAGAATGTTAGAATATACAAATGCTTGTGCTATCGCAGGAAGGGGGGGTGGCATAGACAGGCAGGATCACTGTTCTGTCTTGAAGTTAAACTATACCCTACACAGCTGATAACAGTAATAATTATATGCAGAAACAAACCTATGACATTAAGCTAAATGTATGTGCTTAAAAACCAAGTAGAAAATTCAAGTACCAAAATAAAAGTTAACCAACAGGATAAAGCAACAACTATGTTCTCCCATTGGAAGGAATCTGAGTGTAGCAGCCCGGTTTATTCCCTAGAAATAATGAAAGAGATGCTGAAGTTCAATTACCACTACACACTAGAATGTTATTGCTGAATTTCAACTATAGCAAACTAACAAGGAATTCCAAACTGTTACTTCATTTGTCATGAGCAGCAGCAGACTGCTGGCCCCTGTTCTTATGAACTGCTTCTGGCTGAGAACATAACTATGAACGATTGATAGTGAATGCAAAGTTGTATTATCAGAACAGTCTCAGTACAACCAGACTCTCCCATTCAGAGTTCCTGTGCAAGTTGCTAAACTGTCTTCTCCTTTCACACTTAGAACTTAAGTATGTGGACATTAACCACTGAGTACAGAAAAGAAAGCTGCAACCTTCAAATACTTATTTGTGCAGTGCTTCAGTCCTTCAGCTTGAGTCCTTGTCACTGTAAGACCTAATTTGCTCTAAAACTCAATTAGCAGGAGCTAAACTATCTGAATAAAGCTAGGATCTTATAAACTAGTATCCTCTGTTCTGATCCTCTGTCTCTTTTCCTGGAGTTCAACCATATCTAGAGCAGCTCTCATTATCACCCCTGAAAAGAATACCTTCCTATCTTGGGAAGAATTAAGAGTATACCACTTAAGATCACCTATTACCAGAAAGGGAAAACATCTCTCAGACATAATCCTACAGACAACTTAGAAGTTCAGTACACCAGGTGCTGGAATAGCTATAGGGCTTTAGCTCACAGAGCATTTAATACATGAACACTTTGTTGATTTAATGCAAGCTTGAATAAGCCCATAAGCCTACCACAGACCCAGTTAGATCACATCACTAAAGGCAAACAGTTGCTCCACACAATTTGAGCAGAGACACTTCTTATGAAGATAGCATTCAACTGTGCTAAGTATCCTGTATGACAACTCATCAATCCTAATTATTAAAAGCATTCTGTCTCTGCTAGCTACATTATTACAAAGTTGAGCAAAGCCTCTTTGGGCTTGCTTTTCCTATTCTTGTCTTTTCCATGCAAAATGAGTCAAGAGCATCCCAGTTCATTCTGGGAAGTTTTGTAGTAAAATAGTGCCAGTACAGGTAGTTTCAGAGTTTGGATGTCAACAACACAACTTGCAAGTATTGCTTAGCATTCACTGGCTCAGCAGCTCAGTCCTGGCAGAGCCAGCATAGATTTGAAATAGCACTTTCACATGTGGGGATCAGGAAAGGGAGGAAGAGAAGAAAATGGAGGTCTCAAATGACTGCCTTTTCCTGAACTCAAACTTTCATATACCCTTCCAATGTAGGAAGAGATGCAGTTGAGATGCAAACAAGTAAAGCCATGTCTAAGTGCCTGAATGGCAGCAAACTGACACTGCATTAACTGCTCCTTTTACTGTCAAGTTAAGCTCCTGAATGCAATGGATGTGGATCAATACCTCAGTACCTGGTAACCACATAAGCTGTGCCTGCCACAAAAGACAATCCAATTTTGCTTGCATATAGCTCTTTTGCTTTAGTACTGAACTAACATGTAGCTAATAATGGATATGCATCTGTGTTACTAGTAGGAAAGACAAGGTTATTTAAAAAACCCAACCCTCAGACCAATGTACTGACCAGTGGAAAGAAGTTTGAGATGTAAAAACTGCAAAGGGCAAAGTAAATAGTTTGCCATTTTAAAAGATTATTCAAAGCCAATGGTCTTTCAAATTCAGTTTCAAGTGTGTACAGTAAATGCAAAGTCCTTGCCCCACATAAAGCTTTAAGAGAAGTCCACATTTTGATACACATGACATTCTAGTTTTTGTGAGAGAACCAAAAACTTACTGAGAAGTTCTGGCTGATTCAATTATTTCTTGAGTAAACACTGCAGAGCTACCACTACAACCAGAATACCTAAGCTGCTGGCACAACTCAATAATTAAGTGTAACAAGTTGGGTATAAAAAAATTTATGTAGTAATACCAATTCAGCACACAAATTCCATGCTTCACAAGTTTTGCTGCTGTGTAAGAGTTTTCCTAACATCTATGCAGATAAGTTCAGATTTTGAGGTCACTGCATGCCCAGATCAAAACAGCAGCACAATATCTACCACTATGAGCAGCTATACCCAATTGTGCCTTTAGAATGCAAACGATGCAGAAATCTAGACAATCAGCACCTTGCAACTGAAATTGGACCCCACACACCAACTTCAGTGTGCACACTGTAGAGAATCAAGTTACTGGAAAAGAAAGATGCATACAGATTCTGATACAGGTATGATACAATCAAGACAGATTAAGTCACTAGACATTCAGATTAGGGGGGAGGAGAATCATCCTTCAAAGCATGTACAGATGACAAGCCAGCATAACAAAGAACTCTAAAGGCACATTTCAGGTAACATGGTTCTGTTAAGACCAACTGCTTACACACGCAAGCACAAATCTTAATGGCTGCTTCCTCCCACCCCCCAACCAATTAACAAAAAACCAAGAGAAGTGCATTTTCAGCAATATGAACACCGTTCAGTTAATTTGTTCAGTCCAAATGTTTAGCAGTATTTTCCTTATGGTGATACGGATTCTCTGCACTACTCCAATCCAAAAAACCCAACAGGCAGGATTAGTAAAGGTTCAAGTGTTGTACTAGTTAACATTTACTCATCGGAGCCCACTGCTCTCTTCTGTGCCCTCTTGTAGGGCAACCTCCTTGGTGAAGCTTTATCTAGATTAGAAAGAAAAAACAAAACCAGACAATTGCATCAATTGCTACAGCTACTTCAGATAAGATGTTAATATGACCATATATTTTTCTCCCTCCCAAACACAAGCCAAACTGCCCATAGAGATGCCAGTTCAAACAACTTAAGGATTTCTAACTACTAGCACCCTAAATAGAAGGCAGCAAAAAAAAGAATGTTCTACTCTGTAACATGCAGCACAGGTAAGGGTTGTTCAATTTGCCACTTACTGGGGAAAAAGTAAACTATCAAACCCTGTACCATCTCCTGGTGAAACTCCATAGTCTGCTGTTCAGAAGTTTCATGTTCAAGAATTACAGTATTAGAAAGTTAATGAATCATTTGGACCATTACTGGTTTGAGATCACCTGCCTGAAGAATGTAATTGACTCTCCTTTAGACAGCTTTGTCTTGCATGAAGTATTTCCACATTCATACAAATTTAACAGCCAAGATAGGTAAAAAAAAAACAACCTCACACTTTTCCAGGAAGTATCCACATTTCACTATGGATCTGTCAACTTTATCAGGTATCCCATATGGGGAAGCCACCCAGCTTTAGCTGTGTGATCACTGGATGCCAGAAGCATCACCCTACATTTAAGACTTAGACATGCCTGTAATTGTCCTTTATGATTATGGCCCTTATGTAGATAGAATTTCAATTTTTGTAACATTGTAGAGAAGCTACAATACTTTGTAGGTAGACCTGAAATTATTGTCAAGTGTATCTGTTGACTTAAAAATGCAATTTTTTTTAAACAAAATTATCTCAAATAACTTCACTGTTTAGAGCATGTGCAAACACAAGGAGCAGCCATCATGCCATTACAAGCCAATTGGTACAGTATGAAGTGTCCTTCAACAATAAAACAGTCAAGAAAATCTAAACAACTTGAAGGTCATGTATTTCAAAGGATTCTAGTTTTTAGGTCTAGGTAGAACTAACCTGGAGCTAAAGAAAACCACAATTAAGAGCAACGTAAATATCAGTTTTTCCTAGACTTCATTTCTATTTTCAATATATTTAGATATAAATACCTATTTAGCTTAAAAAAGGAATGGCAAATGGGACTCAAACATTGCAGGACTGGAACCCATTTAAAGACAGCTTGGTCTTTGGAAAAAAGTTAGCATTTCAATCTTTCTTGCTAGATTTTATACTATCATTCTCATGTCTCTTGGAAGACAGGGTACACAAAAGCTTACATTTTCAGAAGTAAAACATTAGTCCTTATTCCTATGTAACATTAGTAGAGTTAAAAAGGGTGAAGGAATCAAAAGTCATTAACTCCTGGCACAATGTATCAGAGGTAAGGCCTCTAGCCCTTCTACACTGATTAAAGCTCAGAATATGCTTGTTCCATCAAAACAGGAGTCTTTTTCATGTAAAGGTAGATCCTGCAGAGGGTTTTCAAATTACTCTTGCCTAGGTGCACTTGGTTTGAAGTGAGGCTTTCTCACCTCACACCAGCCAATGTTACTGATTATTGGAGTTCACCTGAAATAAGGAAGCCAAATCTATTAAACCACTACACCCAAGGCTGAGGTCTGTTTCTCACTGAAAGAAGATGCCCTCAGCCATTGACCATGATCAGTCCTTCATCTCCCTCACCTAACATCACCTTGACACTTCAAGTTAGCAGAGAAGGCAAGACACACATCTGCATTTTAGGTAAATGGTTCTGGCAACTGTCAGAGGAGATAACTACTTCAGTAATATTGTATTGAAACCACATTACTACAGTATAACCAGAAATCATATATATACACACAAATACATAAAAACAAATGTTTGTATAATAATGTGTTTGTGTGGTTGCATGCATCTGTTCTGTAATCTTTTACTGCTCATGCATCAATCACTGCATGCAGGAAGCTGTACTCCTATCCATGCCTAATTATCACATGGACAACACATAAAGCACTCCCACTCTTCAGATCACCAGAGCTTGCCTCACCTCTTCTACTTTGCACTGAAGCCATGGGAAAACAAAAATAAAAGAAACATCAGGAGAAGTTAGAAATATACACAAACTGTCAAAATCAACCAGACACTGGGTTTCCTGTTGGCATTTCAGATATCAAGTAAAACTTACTAATTTAGGACTTGTGAATGACATTGAGGGGTTTTGGTCATTAAGCTCAACATGAACCAGCAACACACGCTTGCAGCCCAGAAAGCCAACTGTGTCCTGGGCTGCACCAAAAGAAGTGTGGCCAGCAGGGCCAGGGAGATTATTCTGCCCCTCTGCTCTCATGAGGCCCCACCTGGAACACTGTGTCCAGCTCTGGAGGCCCCAACAAAATAAGGACATGGAGCTCCTGCAGCAAGTCCAGAGAAGGGCCACAATGATGATCAGAGGGCTGGAGCACCTCTCCTGTGAAGACAGGCTGAGAAAGTTGGTGTTATTCAGCCTGGAGAAGGCTCAGAGGAGATCCTATAGTAGCCTTCCAGTACCTGAAGAGGTTACAGGAAAGCTGGGAAGGGACTCTTTACAAGGGTCTGTAGTGATAGGATGAGGGGGAATGGTTTCAAACTGAAAGAGAGGGTATTTAGATTAGGTATTAGGAAGAAATTTGTTACTGTGAGAGTGGTGAGACACTGGCACAGGTTGTACAGAGAAGCTGTGGCTGCCCCCTCCATAGAAGTGTTCAAGGCCAGGTTGCATGGGGCTTTGAACAACCTGGTCTAATGGGATGTGTCCCTGGCCCATGCAGGGGGGCTGGAACTAGATGAGCTTTAAGGTCCCTTCCAACCCAAACCAATTTATGATTACTACTGAGCCTTAATGCTCATTTAATGCACATTTCTAATGCTTATTTAAAACTTTGGTTGATAGACAAACTTCTTTCTGCAGAAACATTGAGATTATAGGTATTTTCTCACACTTAAACCTCCTTTGTGATCCAGGTTTTGAGTGGAGATTTTGTAACAAAGTCTACAGAACAAACTAAAAATCACTGATAGTCATTTTTATATCAACCAGTGAAATTTGTTCTATACAAGAATAGGCTGCTAATGTAATAGTTTAATAATAAAGCATAGTGCTTTAGACGATCTTTTACTCCTAGAAGAGATGTATGCTATTCTCAGAAATTGGTACCAACTACTTATTCAGTTACAGCTAATTTTCTTATGCTCTAGTTTGTCAAAGACAGACTACTTACTTATTTGATTTAAAGTTTCTTGAGGAATCCAGCTCATATCAACATCGTTCTGATTTGATGTTCCCATCTCTACTTTCTGTACTGGTCTTTTCCTCTGAAAATTCAAGATGAAAGATTGTGGAACAAAAAAGTTTTGTTAGCACAAGTATTAGATGCTATATTTAATGAATTGTCTCAGTGAAACCACTGCAAGCTCATGGCTAGTCAATGTATTTAAGCAGTCTTTGTAGCTTAGCTTTGCTCTTTTACCATTATCAATTAATTCCCTCAACCTCAGCATTGCCACCTCTAATGCCTTGCAACATGCATTCCACACAAAGATACCAAGACTTCACGCAAGGGCAAGTTCATTATACCCATTACGAAAAATGGCCAATCACTAATCACACCTTGTGATCACAGGCTTCGTTATGCTTTCTCAGATTAGCACAGTGTTGTCCTGTGTCACCTTGCAAAATAAGATTTCAAAGCACAATAATCATGCTTCTTCCCAAGGGAAGCTACTTTAAAAGAACTGCAAGCCAGACTGCACAAAGACATAATTTATGCATTGCATGCAGATGAAACCTCAGCCTTCAACAGCTTTTACTTGCCAGACCACTTGCACCAACAAACCCTTAGCTGCTACAGCTTTATAAATGGAATCCAGAACACCCTAATCAGCATTATGGCAAAGCATTGATAAGAACTAAATAAACGACAAGACAGCTGTTTTCCCAAGTGTTTGACCCAGATTAAACTAATAGATATAAATAGAGAGCATGAAGAAATTCTACCCAGCAAGTATTGAATCAGTAGCTGCACACATCCAGTGACTGGAAGGTATCAAAGCTTCCAATTCAACCACTTCAGGGTGGTGCCAAAGAGCATCTCATAAGCAATCTGAACTTCTCCAATCCCAAACATTTTTTTAACAACTCTCAGCTTTCCCTAGTAATCTCTAGGGTCTTAGCTAGAAATCTTCTGAAGTTCTACCTGTACCATTGTATGCCAGAAGTGATTACTGAATTGCCTTCTCTTCATACCAGTAAGGTCTTGTATTAACAAATATTTAAACAAAATACACTACTCACCTTCCTAGATTCTAGTAACTGATGTAGGCCAACAATGACAAGCAGACCAAGTCCAGCAAGGAACATGTACATGAAGATCCTTTAAAAAACAATTTAAGAAGCCATTAACTAAAAATCTAAAGTGGTTAAGAGAGTTTGCAAAGAGGCATAGAAACTATGCCTGGATTTGGCCACATGCCCATTTGATCTTTCCCAAGAACTTTTGTAGGAGTTTGATGGGGAAAAAAAGACAAACAATGAAGTGCTAACAAATATTAAGTAACTACTCTGACTTCAATTTTAGAAACTGTAACCCTAACCTTAATTCTGAAAAAACACACCATTTTCAAAATGCCATGTAAGCTAGGAAACTGCTATAAATTCTTGAAATTTAGGAAATGAAAGAACTCTTTCACAGTATCATCTTTCAAGACATTGGGTCACAGGTAATAATTATTTTTTGACAGCTTTAACCACTTACAAAACCCTGAAAAAAAAATCCCTTACATGTTTTTAGCATGCTACTGCAAAGCAAGTACTGCTAGGATACTAATTTATTTGCAACAGGCCTTGCTTATCTTGCTCTGTGTACCATAGTTAGAATTCTACCTGTGCAAACAATCACTTCTTTACATCTGTGCAGTTTGGTTTGTCTTGAAGAATTCTACCTGAAATGCCTCTTGATACTTAAGAGAGGGATGAACACAAATTATATCTAAAATTTATCTGGGGAGCAGACAGGGGTTTACAGGTAAAGAATCAATTCCTCATTGAGTATCTCAACTCAGATTTTGGGAACAAAGGAAATTAAGTTAAACTACAGAAGAGACTTGAGTATTCTTGTTCTAGAGTAATTATCTATTCACAGGACATGAACTTTAACTGGTTCTAATAATTTGCTTTTGAGAGCTCCTTTATCAGAGCATCACATATCTTCACATGACCAATTTTTCTTTCATTAATACTATTATATTTGAGAAATATCAATTAATGCAAGAGAGATTTCTCTTGGCTGACTTTTTTTAAAAGGCAATTTCTACTCATGACAAGAGAATTCAAACATTCAGCATTGTCTACAGGCATTTCTAAAGATTATTTTTAACTCGTAAGTTCTCTTAAAATTCCACTCCAGTGTTATAATATTTAAAAGCATATCAGGACAGCATATGCTTGCAACATACAAGGTGTGTCAGATGTACTTAGTCTTCAAGACAGAAAAACAACACTCCTGGAAGATACCTGCTACAGGCAGGGGTTAGTGCAACAAAGAATGAGTGCAAGTTCCTCTACCTCATATTCCATATACGTCTTCCAGTTTGTGCAATCTCAGATTATACTGGAGTGTTCCAGAAGCAACTTATTCCAGTCTTCACAGTAAAAGATGCAGCCCAGTACTATGGGCCCCCTGCACCCCTAACTCTTAGGAAAAAGCCTAGTGGCAAAAAAAGACCTCAAGAGCTTTGAATTGCTATGTAGCTGTATAACATCAGGGCCTATTCCAGGCTTAAGCCCTCCACGCCAAAGCAGATGGGTAAACTGCTCATGGACATACTGCCAATCCTGAAAATCCCTTGTATTAACTTACATTTTGGGAAAAAGCTCATGTTCTCAGTCTACCAACATTGTTCAAGTCAAATGTCTGCTACACCATCAGCAAAACACAGCAGACCTAACATTCAATAAAATGAGGAAACAAGAACTATTCTCATGGGCATCCTCAATAACCTGTGTACCAACTAAACTTGACTCTCCAGGCTCCTTACGTTTCTCCATCCAGCCCATCTTCTTTTTCAATAATTGTAACAGTTTGATTGAAGACAGCATCTTGAAACACATTGCCCTGTAACAAAGTTTCCATATAACATTTTAAATTAATTTCTGAATGCCTATACAAATGTTTATCTTTTTTCACATTCTTGGAATAACTCTAGAAAGTAGTAACTCCTGCACAAGATTTGATTAAGTTTATAAGTAGTGCAAGTTTGATTCAACATACAGAAGCACAAAGTCTTTGGTCCAAGTTCAAAGACCAGTCATGATATCAGCATGAAAAGTCACATCTTGCCCTCAAAATGTTATTTCTTATAACATTAAATATTATATACAAAGAGTTTTTATAAGAAAAAAAAATAATCAAAACTCTAAGGTACAGAGGCCCATTAAACTTTGACCTGCACTAAAAGAGAAAAGAATCTGCTATTTTTATCCCATTTATGCTTTTGGATAGCCTCCCCCCAGACTGCCACTACTGGCCATTTCTTTGCTCAAAGTTGTTTGCAGATGGGATTCAGGCTGACTATGTTTGTTAGAAAAGCCCAATTTGAAAAGCACAGTGAAATTAAAGCTACCCTAAAGAAAACTTAGATTTTTGGTTTTAAATAAGTAGTACCCACTGCTACACAGTTCTATGGCATTCTAATTTCCACTGCTGATGTAACTTAAGTCCAACATCTACTGAACTCAGTATGCATGGTGTACCGTCATGAAACACAGTCACTTGCCATGCTTACATATCTACTGATTTGCTTAAAAACCACAAAGACCATTCACTGTCTGAAGAGGTAGTAGCTTGACTAAGCAGCTCCTTCCTGGTATTTCCACATCAACTAGGAAGATTAAAATGAAATCACAACATGAGGCTTACGTTTACATCTCTGTAGTTGAGATTGATAACTAGTCCAAAAGGACGACCACCCATAGGCTCGGCAGGGATGAATGAGTACTCAAACGTGGCTTGCCTCTGTGGTGGAACCACTGTGTTCAAAGGGAGAGCTGTGAAGTTCTGGATATAAAACTGGTAGTCTTGAGGATACCGGAAAGAGGCATCGAGAGACTCCACAATGAAATCCTCTGTCCCCTTATTAGTGAAGCCCACCAGAAACTTTACAATGTTGTTTGCTGGAAAGTCTAAAACACACACACAAAAAATTAACCATTAGAAACTTCATACACCACACCTAGCCTGTTCTTAACACAGGGGATCTAGAACAGATTCTGGGTTTATTTTAGACCATTGCTGTTTTATGCATATGTTGATAAGATGGTAGATTAGCACAGGACTCTTACCTTCACCTTTCACAAATAAGATGGTTGTATCAGCACTAGGTGAGGCTTTCGGTTCTCCTGATAAGTCTTCTTCCTCTTTTTCTTCTGTCTAAGACAAGAGACTTTTTTGAATAATCCTATAACAAACAGTGAAGCAAAGACCATGCTCGTTCCACAAGAATCCCATGTGTCAAAGCACGTAACAATGACAAGCACAAGTATCAATTCTTGCTGCTGCAGGATTAGCACAGTCTGCTCTACCTGTAGGTTTGATTAGCATTTTCAGTACTTATCCTTCTACTTGTTATATTTGACAGTGACTAATCTGAACTGCATTTAGCTGTAGCTAAATTGCATTTAGCTCTTTAAGTCTAAAAGCAACAGTAAAGTCTGTTGTTTAAGGCTGGAAGGAAATGAATAGAATCCAAACGTTAAGTGTTCACATCTAAGCTATTTCTATTTAAAAACAAGCATTTCCACAATGATAGGCAACCATCAGGCAAACAAGTTACCTTCACTACAGAGGAAGTGAGCTTTTAATTCAGTTTTAATGACTTAAGTGTTATGTCTGTCTGTCTGGAAAAGGTTAGACTGCTGGAACTAAGTAAGTTCATGTATTCACCTGCTCAAGCTCACCTTTGTGATTATTCACTTTTTAATGTAGTAAATGCAAGTGTTACAGACTTATTCTCCACATGGGGATCATGGGATCAACACCTTCCCCAAATAAAAAAAAAGGCTGACCCCATTTTGAACTGTCTGCACTAACTGCTTTCATGTTAGATTGCTTGATTCCACTGCTTGAACAATCCCTTGAAGCAGTGGATAGCCTACCGGATCAGTAGCTCTCTGCTGCCTCTTGAACATGAACACCAAAGCAGCCACAACGAAGTAGCCCCATACCCAAATGTCCTTCTTAGTTTACTGAGATGAAGCTTAAGCTGGAAAGGAACTACAAGGGGCTCCCATAAGAAGCCGGTTCTCTCACCTGGTGTTCTTTTTTGTGAACTGCAGCTTTAGTAATCAGAAATGGGGCTGCCCCAGTGTGATTTTCAACTAGTAATTTAGGAAGAACAGAGAAATCCTTCTGAAACTTCAAACTGAACACAACTTATACCAGACTCGGAAACAGCAATGTTATTAAACTCATATTTAAATACATATGAATTTTCTAGCTTCAAGCACTTTTGGTCTAACTCATGATGTAACAATCATGTACAATTACCAAGTCTGTTGGCTCATCTTCTTCAACTTCAGCTTCATCATCTTCATCTTCAACTACTGTATCTTCCACAGCTTCCTCATCTTCTGTAGCATCTTGAGCTGCAACTAATAAACCTGAACCTATAAAACCAAAATGCAAACACAAGAAATTCTTTTTAATGTCTAGATAATCAGCAGAAAACTGACAATGTAATTCAATTTTCAAACTAATGTTTGAAGAATTTCTTAGAAATCTGTCAAATATGGTGTTTTGAAGCCTCAGTTGAAAAAGCCTCACATTCAAATGATTGTCTGTGTTGATCTTTCATCCTTCCTTCTCTAACAACTTTCTGAACTACTCATTTATGTGCCAGTGAGTTCAAAACCAAAATGCTTACAGATGAATAACAAGAAAGTTCAGCATTCATACTGCTTGCTTCAAAATTGTAGAGGGCAACCAACTTGCCTTGAAAGCTACTGTTTAATTTTCTAACATATAACCACTTTATAATACCTTGTCCTTACAAATGTGACCATAAAACATATTGATATTGTCAGAAAACTGAGTACTGTTTCTTCCAAGACTAATAATTTTAATTCATGATTAGCAAGTCCTTTTCATCTGCTGGTATCAGAACATACATTTTCACAGGTAGATAAAAAGTCACTAGCTTTGCATTTATTTTCATTCAAGTTTTAATACAAAAGGAAGTTAAAATTATTTATTTTTTCAGTATAACCTCCTCAATATAAGATACTACTATATCCATATGTTCAATAGACCAGAACAATGGTAAGAAAAAAAACCTGACCTAGAGCATGACTCCAGAGCAAGGCTCCAAGGCAAGTTCCTTGCCTGTTTGCTTTATGGAGCAGAGTCTCATACATTCAAACATTGGGCAGACATAATTAATACAGATGTTGCCCATAGGACAAAGTTCTGTCTGTTTGCAGTTTAGAGCACGTGCAAGCTAGGCTGCAAACTATTAAAACACATACACAAAACCACAGGTTTCGTTTTTTTAAAGAAGCTAACATTTTTGAAAAATGAAAGAGTAGAAATGAATGGGATTTACACAAGCCTGAAAAAGATTTAATTGCCACGTGGACACATTTAAAATAAATAGTATTTGAAAACTTTCATGGGGAGTAAGAACCCTTGAGCAGGGTAAGTATATCCAAGGATTTCAGGATTGTCAGTCACAGCTAGAAGCAGCCAAATACAACCTTGCCCTCCCAAGTGTCTTTAGAAAGGAAAATGAACCACGTGCAGTACTTAACCAGCAACAGTGATTTTATCTGCTAAAGTTTTAAGCGTACAAGTCTGCAAATAAGTACTTTTAAAATGAAAACCTTTATGACCGAGCAGGCTGCGGGTGGGTGGCAGGTACTGCTCAGAAGCAGCCCCGGCAGCACAGCCCGCTGGATCCCGGCGGGGCTGATGATGTGGCAGCCGCGGGGAAGCGGAGCTGCCCGGGCGGGAAGGCGCTCACACCGGCCCGTGCTGCAGCCCCCTGGAGGAAGGGTCGGCTGCCCCGCC